ATTATGACATATATTATATATATATTATATATATTATATATGTTTGTGTGTGTGTGTGTGTGTGTGTGTGTCCCTGTGTGTCTGTTGTGTGTGGTGTGATCCTGTGTGTGTCGTCAGCGATTGATACGAGTAATTCCGTACCTTGGCGACCTCGGTTTTTTTGTATTGCAGTACGCGCGCCTGCGCAACGACGTCCTGCGTCTCTTGTGTTAACGCGGTGTGGTCCGTTGCGCTGCTGGACGTTCGCTCCGTCTCTTTCACCGCCGGGTATTCTTGTGATATTCATGGACGAGGGCCACTACTCGCCAGCGCCGGCCTCATCATCGTTTCCATGTGGTGTTGCGAGTGGAGCGTGACACCCGCGCGCGCCGCAGACGTACGCCACGACGGCCGAAGCCCTTCGTAATCTCCGTGGCAGGCGTGGACACTGCTACGGAACGGATCCACTGACGTATACGATATCCGGCGAGCGCTCTCGCCGCGAGTTCGCCGAGCGACGACGCGCTCTTCCGACGGCCGACGCTGCCGCAGCACGTCCGTCAGGTAGTACTGGCGACGTGCGAGATACGATCGGTCTCTGCACGCTCATTGTTGGCCGACGTATTGCGCTCCGAACAGGCGCTGACACATGTTACGCATCTGGCGGACGTTCCGACGAGCGACGGAAGTACACCGGTCGCCAGTAGAACGGGCCGAACTGCATGCTGAACGAGCGTTACGGCATTACGCGAATTATTCGCTGCAGAATCAATCCTAGTCCACAATCGTCACCACCAGATATAGCCTCGAAAATTCGCGCGAGTAGGCAACTCCCGTAGCTCAGCAATGCCGTGGCTGTGTCGCTCCGTCGTATGCTGAGTTAGTCCAAACCACTTGCGATACATTTAATCGCTACACTCTAAAGGCTCGGTAACGAGCACATGACGTACCGTTATTGTTTTTCCTGCTCCTGTTCATCTTTCTCGAGTCTGCTGTAGAGGGCTTGGCCATTTTCTCCCTGCTAACTGACAAGCTTTGATCCTTGCTAGCTTATATCTATACAAAAATGCGCTTGTTATTGGCCGACGCATGCGATTGTCGGCGAAGCGAATGAGGCGTGAATAGGGGATTTGAACATGCAACGCGTTCAAAACAATTCAACAACTTTGCCAGATGGCGCCATAGTAGGGTTACCCTTCTTGACCATTACGTCAAATTTAATTAACATAGAATGCGCATTAATTCACTAGTTATTTACATCATCTTCTTCTTCTTGATGTTCATTCTTGTCTATTTGGACTGTGTTTATTTATGTTATTTTTCCGATATAACTCTGTCTGTCGGCACACAAGTTTCATGGTGGTGCAGCACTGCGAGTAGCAGTCGTGTCAATGCCTGTGCCAAGATAGTGCCGGTGATGTTTTTCATTGAATTTTCAGTGATCGTCGGAGACTCGGGAGCAAGGTTTTTTTGTTATGGCTAATGTTTCCAGGACAAATGGATCCTCATCTGTCAGGGGACTTAGTCTACGTGCGTAATCGGTACATAATCAGGTTGATGTTACTACTGTTTATTCGCGGTTGAATGTTGTTACATCCTGCGCCTAGCTCTGTAACTCTAGTATAGGCTTAGCTCTGGTTTCTATAACCGCGTACATTTACGCGGCGGCTATATGTACTAGAGCTATGTATTATAGCTAAAGGGGTCGTTGTCGTATCATGGTACAGATATGTACCGACGGTCTACTATATGTATACACAAGTGCTCAGCTTTATTCAGAAGTGTACCTACCCTAACACTACCTAACCTTCCTGCCACTACGCTGAGATGAGGTCTATGTCCCTTGGTTTCTGCCGGACTACCTGGGACGGCGGTATTACCGAACGTATACTGGTTTTAATATGGGGACGTACTCGTACTTTACTATCGGACCTAGGGAGTCGTCTCGCCTACTCGTCCGTAACCCGAACCTACCTAACCTAGACTAACCCTCATCTAACCCTAACTATCAATAGTGCCAGGGTACGATCGAGCAGTACCCTGTGGGGAAATAGACCTCATGTAGCAACAGAACCTAACATGACTCTATAAATTACACATAATGATTACTAACACCTAACTACCCTCGGCGTCATATCTTGTACGTAGTACGTACCTGATACTAACAACGACCCCAGTCTGCGTTAACTATAGCCCGCGTACAGTTGCCGCTGGCTGCCAGTCGCAACTGTACGGGGGCTATAATATAGTTACTAGCGCCTACCTAGCTAAGAAAACTATAATTTACCTAGTATGAATCCTCAAGGAACATTCTCTATACCTCATACTGTATATCATGCAGAAATGGAAGCGCTTTCAGTGAATGTAGAGTAAAATACTAATTACAGGGGTCGAAATTCGATTTATATTATGGTATCCATTCGGGATACCAGGTATTGAAATCTGGTAGGAAAAGACTAATCCCCGGGCACTCTGTGAGGGCGAGCCCACAATGTAGGGGTGGTCGGGTAGGGTATGGTTAGGGTTATGGTTTAGGTTAGGTTTAGGGTTAGCGTTAGGGTTAGAGTTAGGCCTACTCTACCCGACCCTACCCTACCCGACCACCCCTACACTGTGGGCTCACCCTTACAGAGTGCCCGGGGGTTAGTCTTACCAAATCTGGTATCCCCCCAAAAAATCTGGTATCCCATTTTTTGGATAGTAATTTCAACAATGTTGGTATCCAAAATCTTGAAATATGCAATAATAGCATTTGAAAAATATTAATATGTAATATAATTGTATCCCCCGCGACGAAGTCGGCAGATCTCAGGCAGATGAGTTGTGTAACAAACCTTAGTCTTTGTGACTTATTTAACTTTACCTACCTTCTACGTCCTTACAGAGATATTTCATTCATACTAGATCACGGGGGATACATGTAGTTGGCGAAAACTGCCCTTTCTAGTTCTTATATAAAAACATGAAAACAGATTCACAGATATGCACAGACAAGTACACTGCAGATGTATTGTCTAGACGCATTGTCTGGTTCGCTTGAAACATGGTATACACATCACATTTAAGATCAACATTGGCCACGCTTAAGCCTGGCGCACATTGCCGAACATTTTCCCGAACAAATGTTTGTTCGAACAAATGGTTTTGTCTGGCAATGTGCGGTGAACAATTGCTGAGCGCACATTGCCGAACATTTTGCAGCGAACAAATTAACCTCGTGGTGCCGTCTAGTAGCTGTGTTGTAAAGAGTCACGTGATCGGCGAGTGGCCAATCGGCGTGATTGGCATTTACAAATGTTTCTAGAATTGTTCTACATTCACCGCACATTGACGAACATTCGACGAACAATGTTCGAGATATCAAACATTTCCGATCTTCAAAAACATTGTTCAGAACAAATGTTCGGCGACTTTTTTCACCGCACATTGCCGAACATTTCATGGAACATTGCTACGATAATGTTTTTGAGCAAAATGTTCGGCAATGTGCGCGTTTATGCTCAACAACCACAATCCCGATTTAGACGATTTTTTTTTTACTATCCCTGCGGGATACCAAGCATTGAAATCTGGTATCCAACACAAGAATCTACTATCCTGCGGATATCGGGATACCGCTCATTTCGACCCCTGTTAGTTACTAGTTATTAGTTGTTTAAAAATATGTTAACTTGGTATTTTCACGCACTAACTTCACACCTATGCACAAATTAAAGTGTGATTTCAGCCTTCGTTTCAAGTTGTGGCAATATCTACATCTATATGGTTTAACGTCGATCTGTCACTCTTGACTCAATAGCATAGATCTGATCTGGTGACATGGCGGAAAACTCACAGTTTGTTGTTTACACTATGTGAGTGGAAACTAGTTACGTGAAGATAAAAAACTAAATTGCAGCCACATTTTCAGATGCTTCTGTACTACTAATATAACCCAAACATGGTTATGTGCCTGCGTATATCGAAATTTAGCCTGCGCCTGGCCTGGATTACACACACGTACAATTTAGCGTGGGATAACTTTGTACGGAATAACTTGGCACGCTTTGAAGTGCATGGGCCTGGTCCCCCTCAATTGGAATGGCTATGTGTAATAGTCTGGACTAGTGCGTATATAGCGCAGGATATAGCATGTATGGACTGCAAGAATTTAGTCCAGGCCTAGCTTGGACTAGTTTGATATAGAATCGAATTTGCAGTCTGTACGGGCCATTAGAGAACTCGCTGATCCTGCAATTAGTATGTCTACCTTTTACCACAAAGGGCGTGAGTTCAAACCCTAAACAAGATAGTGAATTTTCTCGAAAGTGTACAAACCTAGGCTAGCTCATTAAATTGGATACTATAACTTCTTCATGGTTCGCATAACCATGTAAAATTGCGGGGCCGTCTCCAGTGATTTGGATGCAAAACAACCACTGAGGATGTAAAACAATCATTGACCATCCTTAATGCCCGCAAAGAGGTCAACCTGGTGTGGTTCTCCGAAGCTCACTAGTTGGTGAATCCGACCTCATATTGACATCGATGTAGCTAGTTAGATGCATGCGCTACCTTGTCACTACATTGAGTGTATGGGACACCAAAAAATATAAGGTCATATATCATAGCATGTCATAAAATTATACTCGGCCCTATAATTGCTCATCATTGTATGGCCAAGGCTATATGTACACTAGATTTAGTTTAGTCTCACGCTCAGTCATTGCGACTTCAGACAAAATGTTAGAGCTACTGCTAGGCCTATAGCCTTGCTGTTCTGAGCAGAGCAGAAAAATAAAGAATATAGAGTTACCATAGACATACACATAATATGTGTACACAAATCTATACATGTGTTCATGGTATCACCTGTACTGTAGTAAGCTACAATACGTAATAACGGTGGCATTTTCTAAGAAAAAAACTTGTTTCTGAAAAACTGAAGTGCAGTAATGAATATTACCGGCATCGTAGCGCTTTAAAATATTACTAGAAGTTGATGGTAGATAATATTACTAACTCGGAGTGTTTTATTTCAGAGGGTTACCTTTTTCTGTGTGCATCAGACCTAATCGGTAGATACTGGAGTGGGACATTGTGCTTGTTCAGAGACGGTTGTGCAGCACCGGACATCACACAGTGTTTGACAGGTTGTCAGACTGAAGGTGGACTGAATGACGTCCGGTGGATCACGAACCACAAAGCAGCCGTAGCTTCAGATTCCGGTATAAACAACATGACTGGCACTGTTATCTGTTACATGATTTCCATGTTTCAAATATGAAATATGCATCTAGCTTAAGTTATATTAAAATATAATAGATTTGTTTAAAATTATTCTGTGTAATATGTGCCTTGTTGTTAGTATTCCACAGAAAATTTAGAAATTTGAAATTTTTTGTGGGGGATTGAGATGCCACTCTCACATTTATTGCGTATGTGTCTTTTGCAAGACTTATTGCAATTGTTTGTTGTTTTAGTTATTTGATTAGATATAATTTTAGGGTCATGTATTTTTTTAAATTGTGAGAAGATTATTTATTGATGTTTGAGAAAGATATCAGTTTTCCTCTGAAGTTCGCTTTGGCAAATGGCTTAATTAAGTTCATTAATGTTCATTGCTCCCCATTGAAATATGATTTAATTGGCTTCAGATGTTTGATGCACTTATGGTAGAAATAGTCATTTTAGCATGGATCATGTAATAGCCACTGCCAAGCTATCATATTTCATCGCAGCCATGCAATTTTGCATCGTTATCATAAAAACGTCAACTATAATATCCCAAATGCTTAAATCACTTTTTAATTAATATCTCATGTCTCTTCTCGATCACTATTATTTTCTGTTTATTTTACATTTCTGTGTACAAATTTCTACTTATCATAATAGCAGGAGGCCATAGGGTAATTAAAAAAATCGTGCTGCCATTATTTGCATTATTTCCTAAATTGCCAGTTTAAATGTAAAATGCTATTTTCAGGTAGAGTGGTTTTTATACATTTCACAGTAAGTGCTTATAGATTTTAACTGACTTGTAAGTTATTAGCAGGAATGATTAAGCATTTAACAGAAACATTATTCATACTTATGGATTGTGCTGCCTAATAACGAGTCATTCATAATATAGAAGCATCACTGAATTGCAGTGTCACCGGTAAATATACAGTTTTGTAAAAATTATCCGAATGCCTTGGGCCAATTTAGACTTGTTGTTGCTACTCCTCGTCAGTAATCACTAATGAACAATTTCACATTAGCATTTATCCTACTTCTCTTCACACTTCAAAATTTCATGCAGTATGACACGTAATGAAGCGTACAGATTCGAAGTAGTAGGCAAAATCCTATGAGATCTCGTTGATACTCCTATTATCAGAGCACACTTGCCACATTGCTGCCGTATATTGTGTATGTTCTACTCTAGTCTCTCTACGCAATATATTGCATAAATATGCACGGCCCATACTGTCATCTATATACTGTTCTCCTCTCTCTTACTATCTACTGTTATCAGGAGTGTATAATATAGACAATGTTATACACTATAGACTATATTATACACTTATAGGCTATATTATATTATATATATCTATATTTAATTATCATACACTCCTGCTGTTTTCTGTACTTTATATGCTGGCCTGCTCTGTAGGTGGGCTGGAGGTGTGGGAAGTGAACGAGGCCAGGGATGAGATGCGACAGATCTCGTACAACTACGCGCACGATGACGCTGCCAACAGTTTGGACCTGACGTGCGATTCTCACGCAAAAGCCGTGACGGCTGGTTCTGACGGCAGAGTTTTCTTGTGGGATCTGGAAACCAACACCCACATACAAGGTTACAGAGGTAAGATAAGTGTAGAGAAACCAACACCCACATACAAGGTTACAGAGGTAAGATAAGTGTAGAGAAACCAACACCCACATACAAGGTTACAGATGTAAGATAAGTGTACGGAGACTAACACCCACATACAAGGTTACAGACATAGGATAAGTGTAGAGAAACTAACACCCACATACAAGGTTACAGATGTAAGATAAGTGTAGAGAAACCAACACCCACATACAAGGTTACAGACGTAAGATAAGTGTAGAGAAACTAACATCCACATACAAGGTTACAGAGGTAAGATAAGTGTACGGAGACTAACACCCACATACAAGGTTACAGACATAAGATAAGTGTAGAGAAACTAACATCTACATACAAGGTTACAGATGTAAGATAAGTGTACGGAAACTAACACCCACATACAAGGTTACAGATGTAAGAAAAGTGTATGGAAACTAACACCCACATACAAGGTTACAGAGGTAAGATAAGTGTACAGAAACCAACACCCACATACAAGGTTACAGAGGTAAGATAAGTGTAGAGAAACCAACACCCACATACAAGGTTACAGCGGTAAGATAAGTGTACAGAAACCAACACCCACATAAAAGGTTACAAATGTAAGATAAGTGTACAGAAACCAACACCCACATACAAGGTTACAGATGTAAGATAAGTGTACGGAAACTAACACCCACATACAAGGTTACAGAGGTAA